AGACCGGCGCGTCGAGAAGCACGTAGGTGATATTATCGACAATGTGATACTGGACGTTCACGAGATACGGCTTGTCGAGGATAGTGACGATGAAAGGTTCAGCAGGCGAGTCAGTGGGATAATCGATATCGCCAACGCAAGGAACAACCCAGATCAGGTTCTGGTGCTTCAGATTCGCGGACATGAGCTGCGCCATTACACCAAGACCACCAATCTTAACCTTGATCTTCCAATCCTCAATGTTGTACTCCATGGTAGCGATCAGCACAGTCCGTCGCTCTTCAGGGACACTAGCAATCGCCACGTCCATCGGCCCTGATACGTCAGACATTGCGTGAACTGAGTCGTCGTCACTACCGAGCTTGTCCTTGAGTCGGCGCCAGAAGACTAGCGGCATTGCACCATCCTTGGTAGCCATATTACCGTCGGTGTTAAGTTCGACCCGGTAGAATGTCCGAATAAATAAGTAGACACCCACAAGACCCATAAGAACCGGAACAACCCACAACAGAACGTAGAGCACAAGCTGCGCCCATCCCGATCCAACAGGGAGCAAGTCATATCGGAACGTGGCATCGTTCAAGGAGATGGTCCACCCGAGGTGTGGGAATGGAGGCAAATCAGTGATGTTAATCACGTTGGAAGAGAGATATGATGGAGGAAGCTTCTGCACCACGGACGAGTTGTCGACATCGCCGTAAACCTCGGTCGTATCAGGGATACCATCTTCTCCGATACCCCAGACACTGATCTGTCCCACAGACGGCCACTCGGTAACAAAGTCGTACTTCCAGCGCTGCTCTTTCTTATCGTAACGCATTTTTGCATCTAAACCAGCATCGTAACCATACTGGTTGTATGGACCATTCCACCACAGATGAGGGAATCGGCGAGGCACCCCATCCTCCCAGTCAACATCACCTTCCTGCAGATAAGCACTGCTACCAGTGAGTCTGGAAAAATATTGCACCTGGACGTGCGTTCCCTTCCATTTCTGGTTCTTCGTACCGTCGAATTCGAGTTCCTGGATTGTGGTGTTGCCACCTTCATATGTGGTCCAGTTGGACCAAGTCCGGCCAAAAGTCGTCGAGTAGCGAAACTGATCGGCACCCGCAGCCTCATGCTGCACAATAACATTTCCATTGTCGGACTTTTGCACCAGGGTAGTCGAGTAATTCATCAACGGCGAGATCAAAGGATTGCTCGGAGATCCGACACGGAACAAGAACCGGTCCACGGAATCGGTGTGAGTACCAGAGGTAGTGGAGACATTCTTGACAGTGACCTGATGAACACCATGGTAGACATCAGTCAGCTGAGCAGACCATGTCCAAATCGTGGGGATTTCGCCGACAAAGTTCTCCTTGCTTGTTCGCGCAGTCACATTGGTGCAGGTGACGGTGGACTTGTCCAATGAGGCTGCGACACCCTTGTGTGTCGTGGAATTTAAAGACACTGCTTTCGTGATACCATCGCAGTCCATCTCTTTCGAGTAGCCAAACGAGATGTTGACTGTCTGAGCCGTGTCGTCCATGGAAAGCAAGCGCACGTCGTGACCAGGAATAAACTCGGTTACGGCAGGGCGAGGCTCAATGAAGTCTTCGGCCTCAATGTAGGCACGGTATTCCCAAGGAAGCAGCTTCATGCCCTTGTAACAGCCGTAGTCTTGGCCACTGGGACCATCTTCCAACTCAAGCTCATCGTACGGATAGAAAACATTCTTCAGCTTCGAGCCCGATTTGAATGGAGCCAGCAATGCAGAACTTTTGTTGCTACAGTTTTCGCCGTAGGTCACTGTCTTGTTGTCGTTGTGGTAAACAAGCCAGATTGTATTGTTGGCCCCGTTAGACTCCTTCTGGACTCCTGGGAAGTAGCTTCGCAGCACTGACCAGAGACCAGTGACCGTCGGCGTAGTCGACGATCCAGGCAAATAGATATCCTGGGTGAGCTGGGAGATTGTCTCGAGGTAGAAACCATCATTGGCAACCGGATAGTGCTCACGGACCTCAAACATACGCTTCATGACATTGCGAAGAGGGTGGGCTGGGTTCCGCTGATCGTAAGTGACGGTAATATCATGACACCCGTACAATCCCTTCTCGTTAGGAAAATCGTAGAACTTGGAAGTGTTCAAATTGAAGCAACCGTGAGTCCACCAGGCAGTGTGGTAAGTCATGGGCTGCCGACCAAATAGATAATTCGAGGCTGTGGCATCAAACACGTACATGGCTTGCTCTTCACCCCACAGAACCAGAGGAATTCCAGGAAGCTCCAGTGTGACAATATACAGACCGAGGAGATACTTATCCGTGCCATTTTTGACAGCAGGCCAGCGAAAGTTGTCCTGGTTTGAGACTCCATACATGTGTCGCGGGTCCAGCTCGCCTGTGATTGCGTTGATCATGTCGTTCGTCACCAACATGCCGTTCCAAGCCTCGATAAAATCCGTGGGCAAGTCGAAACCGGCGACCAAGTTACCGTCCATGCCGAGGAAACGAGTCATCGACCGGTAAATTGTGTAATGAAAGGCAGCGGCATCGAGTGCCTGAAGCCCATCGTCTCGAAGAAAGTACTCATCCGACGTATTCGTTAATTTGACGGCGGCTCCTGCTGAGTCCGGTGTCTGGTCAGGCTGACGGCCACGGCCGAGATAGAGACTACCAAAGGTATTTCCAGACGTGATTTCGCCAGGGAGGAAGAAATTCTTCTTTCCATATTTCTTCGCACATTCACGATAGACAGCAGTCATGTCACCGAGTGCATCTAGGGTCGACTGTACAGCTTTATCGAATCGAAACCCGTCAATGTCGAGACTCGCAATCACAATGCAGGAATGCTGGGTGATGACATCGCGGATGGGTTTGTGCCATTCTCTGAGACGGTCCTGCACCGAGGCGAATTTGGTGAGTTGGCGCTTCCAGTCAGGGAAGTTACCAAACGCCTCCAATTCTCCGTACTGGTCAAAGTCACTATTGTAGCAGCCTTTCAGATCCTCGACACCTCCACCTGTCAATGGATATCCAGTCTCGTTCCAGAACCTTGGGTAGTTGCAAGTCTCATTGTAATCGTTTCCGAATTTAAAGTCCGCGTACTGTCTCTCTGAGATATACTCGACTTCGTACTCTTTCGGGTTGAAATCGGCCGAGTCGTTGAGATGGCCTTTGAAACCGATCAAGTTACTCAAGCTGCGAAACGTGAGCTAAAATCCTTGAATGCGAGGGGTCTCGAGGGTGATACTCACGTTGCAAGCGTATTGTCCATAATCACATACATGTCACGGTCATGAATCTCGGTGACGGTCCGTCTCCAGTCCTCGAGTGTGCCGTGGTGCATGTCGAGAAGAGTGGTATCGACTGGGGAATAGCCATCGTAGGCCCAAGGAAGGTTCATCAAGGCGGTTCCAGCGAAGTAGATAGCCTAACCGGTCAGCAACGTCACACGGTATCAAAGGTCTGTGGTTTTCCATACCTTGAACCCCATACCCCGGATGTAGTCCAGCGAATCGATCAAGCCGACCAAGTCGCCGCCATGGCGCATTTGATTCGAGTTCAATACATGTTCGAAGGTGGTTCCGTTAATGTCATCGTTTGCGGGATCACCGTTAGCGATGCGGTCCAGGAAAATCGTATAGACGGGAAAGCGCCAGTTATCTGGCGAGGGATGGTAGTCGTGGCCCGACCATTCTCCCCAGTAATTGATTGGGTGTTCTGCTGATTTGTTTTCATTCAAGTTGTAGTCAACGAGGGATTCATCGTACGGCCAGCAGAATGCAGTGATGCTCAGCAACGATAGGATCAGAATCGCCGAGCGCTGCATTGCCGGGACGAACATCAAGAAAGTGGTCTGCACCGATGATTGCGCGACTCAGGAAGATAAGAATAACACCGAAATTATCCTACATGCCCTGACTCCGGAGAAGGGAACGAACGGCGGGAAGTATAAGCCAGTAGAGAGTAGATATGAGGGAGGAGAAAAAGACGAACAAAACGAGTGACTTGTCGATGAAACCAACAGCAACGCAACAAGGATTATGATGGATTATGGCAGCAAAGGAGAAATCCTATCAAGCGGGCGAGATGGGGGAGAAAAATGGAGCGCAGCTGGGGTGGTTATGCTGGTTGGTGCCTCTCCAACTATGACGACGGCCGCGTTACTGTTCGACGAGGCGACATGAGACATCCGAAACCACCGACCCGCAGTAGGGCCGCGGTGAGGTGGGCAATCCAAGACATCCATCTCACTTTCGCCCATGATGGGTGGCTAAATTAAGAAACGTCATATCAGGATTTCATGATTGGGTGAATTGAGACAAATCTGTTTCTCATGATGGGGGCTTGGTTTTGGCTTCCCACTTTCTCCCTCTCACTTCTGTTGCTGATGGAGGGGCCGGACAGAGTGTGAGAGCGAGAAACCCAGCAATCTCGGGGTCCCGCTATCAGTTCAACCCAGCATTCGGTCCAACCAGATAATTCAGAACCAGTAAATTCCCCATGGAAAAAGTTCTCTCTGTATCAATATCCACTCATGTCGCTTGTCGACCAGTCTGGGTTGTTGTCAAAACCCGGTCGGTTTGAGCCCGCACAGGTTCCATTTGCCGTATCTGGGTTCTCGAGATAAGCGTCGTCACCGACCCTATAGGCAAGAGGTATAAGACTCTAGGTTCTACTACGGACGTCGAGCATTAATTATTCCCGTGTCAGTCTGGAACAGCTGTTGACTTGCTCAAATAAATGACTGCTGGGTTGACAGCTCGCTGGGAGATTGGGATGGACCGAGAGAGCGAGACATGAGCGAAGTTATTTCGAGTGTGGTGACATTGGCGTGAAACAGCCATTTCCCATGTCTTGTCTCGAACTGTTTTTTTTGTGACCGATACTGCAAAGCATTTCGTCTCATGATGCTTGTCTAGGCTAAAACTCTTGTCTTGCTTGGCCAGGTGAAAGACCTCGTGTTCCTAACACTGTGTGAGTGAGGCGCAACATTGTCGTGTTGAAGGCGCCTCTGCAATTCAAGCTATTTGCCACTGCGCTATTATTGTATATCGGTTATCGTGAGTGCGCGCAAGATTGAGAATAGTGCTGCCTCTTTCGCCCCCCGGTAGACTTAGTACGCAGTCCTCCTGGGAAAGAGTGACAGTGGGCAACCGTGCATACATACATACGCACGCAGTCGCGTCGCAAGGTACGGAAGGAACAGCAAGTGCAGATTTTCGATCGGGTTCCTGTGGGGTGGGGGTTGAGGGGACAGGGTGTGATTGTGTGGGAAAGATGGAAAGGAAGTTCCATCACTCGGCATCCCGCGACTCGCCCGCCCCACCTCACTGTAACACTGACCATTCATTAAAGGCGCGGGCAGTTGATTCTCAGGGACCGGAAGAAGTCTCTGAATTTCTGAAAGTTTCTGCTTTGGAACCTGGAACATACCACGGGTCAAAGTGGGCTGGCAGTCCCTCAGCGTCGTGCCCTGTGGCCCGGTGCCGTTGACTAGAATGGCTTGGTTAGTTGATTGATTGAAAAGAGAAAGTGGTTCAAGTGGAAAGTCGGATGTTGGATTGTTAGTTTGTGACTGCCCTGTTGGTTGTTGTTTGCTTCCATGCTTGGTCATTGCCCCACCCGGGATCCATATTAGTCCTGTGTTCCTAGTGTAAGCTAGCTAAGTAACCAGCTCTTGAAATAGAATTACTAGTTAGTTATTAGAATTAGTCTTACTCAGCACTGGCTGGACTGGGACTTTTTCACCCCCCCCCGGCCACCCCCCACCGGCCTATTCGCGTTAGTCAATTAATCACTGCCACTGACATCATCATCACTTGGAAAACAATTGCAGTGTCTGCGGAAAGTTCGGGAACGTCGTGCCTGTGCCTGCGCTGCGGACTGGTACACAGGACATATGTGGTGTGCTGTAGTAAGTAATTGATAATTACTTGCATAGTATGTACATAGTATATGTGTATCCATACAAGTTCTGTCTGTTTTGTGTGTTGCCGTTCTTTGCATACTGCATGCGCATTGGCATATATATCCCCCGGATGCATGTACGTCCTTTGTCATTCTATAGATAAACATGGGATGGTACCATGTGGATGAACTCGGTACTGTGTATAATGAAAAGAGCAAAGAAGAAGAAAAAAAAAAAAAAAAAAAAAAAAAAAAAAAAAAAAAAAAACCACATGCTGCAGCTCGATAGTAACAGCTATGACCCTTCTTCACCTATTCTAGGGCCTCCTCGCCTGAAAGTAGGCAACTTGTAAGCTAGACTCAACTCAAGAAAATCTACTGCAACCAAGAGCTCACGCAATTAAAGACCATGTACCCCCTTCGCGTCAGTCTAACTACATAAATTAATAAGCCAAGCGAGGGAGCATATGCTTCGCTATCGTCATGCCAGGATTACCTACCCTCGGAAGGTCGAACATATCAAAAACAGACACGTGACCTGTCAGGAATGAAACAGCATGAGAGGTTTAAGCTCTCCGCTTCGTATCTGAAATGATGGAGTTGTTCTACTGGAAGTCAATGATACATGTCACTTCCATATGCAGCTGGCTACTGGGACCTGAGCCGACTTGTGCGTTCACTAAAATCAATTGTAACAACAGGAAGCTACCAGAGAATGAGGAGAAAAGACCTTTCGGAAAACCGCCTGACAAGTCGCGTACGTCTTTGCTTCTGGTGCAAAATTTCTAGTTCCCCGGCGTAGTCATTACGGTTGATGGAGAGGGGGAGGCCCGGTGTCACGACCAGCAACCCCGAAGGTATCTGTCTAGAGTTCAGCTGAAGGTTTAGTCTCTGACGTTTCAACTGCCTGAAACCAGATGGGACCTGGCTTTTACTTTGATGAAAGCATTCGATGACTTGATGTCAAAAGACGAAATAATTCAATGAACACTCGACTTGCAGTGGTTGGTAGCTGTCATGGTCCCAGATGGCTGGATTTCCGGGAGGTCTATCCTTAAATCATATTGTTGATTTTAACCTGGTCGAAAGGTCCGTATTGGGCCAGTCAGTGTCAGTATGTGGGTCTGCTTCATGACATTTTCCACTCAATGCAATGAAACGGCTAGAGCGCCATTGATTCAAATGACAGCCACATCCGCAATAGACTATCGTAGTATCGCAATTCTTGGTGACAAGCTGTCGGAAATGATTGACATGTTTGCTAGAGGTAAGCCACACGGCTTGGCTGACAAGTAGATCGGCAAGAACTATGGCTGGGGTGGATGCTTATGGAAATGTCCCCCTCTCGGATGAACCGGAATGATAATAGGTATACTTCTCAATGATATGTTGACAGCAGCAGAATTCACCAGCGCGAATACAAGAGTTGACATTGAAAAGAGAGGTAGTTCATTGATTCGTCACATGAGATGCTGGATTTCGGCCTCTCAACCAGACATTCGCAAGCATAATACCGGATTTTCAATGGAAAACCCGGAATAACCATCGATGGAATTTGGAAGATCCTGCAATGTGGGCAAGTTGCTTTGGATTACGGTGGCACGCTTCGAACTCGGGCTCGTAGTGGCATAACCCCACAAGTATATAGGTTCAATGAAAGCAGGCAGACAAGCAGATTGATACTCGCAAAGATCAACCTGGATTTCATAAGAACTTTACACAATATGGCTCTGGGACCCAAAATTCTTGATCGAAAACTCCGACTGGCATTGGTCCAGCGCCAGCGTGAGGGGAGGCTCATTCAACCAGCTTCCCCAAGCGAAGTGCAAGGCACCATCGACTTTGGATCCAACGATACCCTATCCCTGTCAAGCTCCGGCGCTTTGAGTGGAGCCTTTTTGCACCAGCTTGAGAATCATCCAGATTTCACAGTCGGGAGCAGCAGCACCCGCGTCTTTGAAGGTACCAGGCAGTATCTTGAAGATATTGAGCGTGACCTGGCTATATTCTACAAAGCTGAGAATGCAATGGTATTCGGCTCCGGGTTTGACGCGAATGTGGCCATTTGGTCTGTGATCTCGCAGCCTGGAGACATCGTCATCTTCGATGAACTTATGCATGCCTGTGCTCGTCAGGGAATGAAGAATGGGCGTGCTAAGGCAGTGCCATTTGTGCACAACGACTGTGCCTCCCTCCGGAATTGTCTCGAGAACGCCCGAGAGCGGAACCGCGGCATCACAGAGGGCAAGCAAGTGGTATTTATCTGCTTTGAATCAGTCTACAGCATGGATGGAGACGAGGCTCCCATCCATGAAATCATTAAAATAGCATCCGAATCACTTCCCCTGGGCAATTATGTGCTTGTTATCGATGAAGCCCATTCCAACGGGCTCGTTGGTCCCAACGGATCAGGTTTGATTCGTCAATATGGTCTGGAAGAAAAGTTCACTATCAGGGTCCAGACCTGTGGTAAAGCCCTCGGGGCATCAGGAGGTGAGGTTCTAGCTTCATCTGCAACGCAACCCGCTAAAATACCTGAAGGTGTTGTTTTATGCAACAACACGATCAAGCAAACCTTGCTGAACTATCCCGGCAATGTCATATTCACAACGGCTCCCAGCTTTGTGACAGTTGCAGCCATAAGGGCTGCATATGAGCTACTGGCAAGTGAAGGTGGTGACAGAGTTAGTCAAGAGTCAGATCGATATATGGAATGAGATAAGCTTACCACGATCACAGCGTCGAGCGCAACTGCAGCACAACATCGAGTTTACCTACTGGACTTTGACAAACCACCCACAATGGGAGCAAGCTAAGGACAGAGGCATCATTCGACTTCCAACAGAGACAGGCTGGCACTCTAGGGCATTCAGATCCGCTATCTTCGCACTTGTAACACAGCCGGGCAAGGCGCGCAGCCTGGCGAAGCCCCTACAGCAGGCTAAATTCTGGGTCAATGCAGTCGAGTTTCCGATTGTGCCGAGGAACCTGGACCGGATGCGACTCATGATACATGCTGATAATACCGAGGAGCAAATCAGCGCCGTTGTGCAACTTATTATGAGGTGGGCGATGGGACAAATGGAGTCGGAGACGATGAACTCGGACAGAATGGCACGACTATAGGCGGCAATAATAGAAAGCTCAGGTAGGGTCAGGGATAGGTTATAGGATGTTAGATCCATGATAAGCAGGAGCAGGCGACATGCTCAATCTAAATTTAGTCCCGTGACCTCGCCCGTACAGTACAATGGAATCCGTGATTCCGTCCTTTACCCTTCTTCAACCTCTCTGCAATTGAATTTTTCCGCAACGACGACGACGACAACGACATAGCTCTGAACAAGGCTAGTGCATCCTACCTCTAAACAAAGGAAGAAAGGCCATGCTGTCAAGCGAGGTCTAGCAATCCGGCGTAGGACTGTGGTTGGGTGCAAGCACCGGCAATCATCGGAAGATGACTTCCATGACATCACCCGTTCTCTCCACCATCTCAGATACAGCCCAGTGCCTACTGCTGCGTCGCAAACATGATCCACTTCTTGTGCCACTCCCCTGTCTCTACAGCATCATCATGATGCAAGCTTAGCCCACGTCAGGCCATTGTCTACAAGATGCTGTGGTATAAACCGAGCTCGTTCCTGCCCAGCATTAGCCAAGCTTCTTCCCCAGATTCCTCATACATTCCGCCAAGATCAACCAGCCGCCCATCATGTCTCCCCATCAAACCGATCAGAAAAAGCACCACACTCCCCGACTACACCGGTAAGCCATATCCTTATTACCACAAATAATCCAGCCCAGCCTTTAATCCCCTATGTCTTAGAGTCGGAAAATGGATGCCCTCCACCCTGGACGAGCATCATGAATGGGTCGGAGGTGTTATCGCCCACGTCGACCGCAACAAGCCTGAAGAGCTTCACCCGGTCCTAAAAGAATTCCAAGAACTTATCGAGTCCAACACGAGGGTCTACTTGCTCATGGCCGCCATGTTCGGTGAAATCCCGCGCAACCGGACCTACGCGACGGACCCGACCGGCTGCCCACAGCTACGCGACTACAAGCACATGCTGGAAGTTCTCAACCATCTCATCACTACTGCCCCCTCCTGGAACGATTTCTCCCACCGCGTGGGCCTCGTCGGACTGCCCATCAATGCTATTCTTGACTGGCCTATGGGTACCCCCTCCGGTTACGCCGCCTTCCTAGACCCCGATGTCAATCGAATGCTTAAGAAAGTCCTCAACGCCTGGGGTGAGTTCCTCAAGTCCCCAGAGTCGGCATCCGTCCTCGACGATTCCGCAAACGGCTGGTTTGGCGAGACGGGGAAGTCCGACTTGGTTGAGGTGGCCAACCTAGGCGGCAAGACCGACCACACATTCGAGGAGATGTTCATCTGCGACCCCTCCGCTCCTCACCACGGCTACAAATCTTGGGACGATTTCTTCACGCGCCTCTTCCGGGAGGGAATTCGGCCGGTTGCTGGTCCTGATGACGATAAGATTATCGCCAATTCCTGCGAATCCAAGCCCTACAAGGTCGCGTACAATGTCAAGGCCTGCGACACCTTCTGGATCAAGCACCAACCTTACTCGATCAACGACATGCTTGCCCTCGATCCCCTGGCGGAGCAATTCAACGGCGGCACCGTCTACCAAGCTTTCCTCAGCGCACTGAGCTACCACCGCTGGCACAGCCCCGTCTCCGGCAAGATCGTCAAGGCCTACGTCGTGGACGGCACGTACTACTCTGAGCCCTTGTTCGAGGGCATTGGCGACCCGAACCCCACCGAGAAACACAAGCACGGTATTGATTCGTGCGGTGAGGTCACCTCGCAGGGCTTCCTGACGGCCACTGCCACCCGCGCTATCATGTTCATTGAGTGCGACAACCCAGATATTGGCCTTATGGCCTTCTTGGGTGTGGGCATGTGCGAGGTGTCGACCTGTGATATCACCGTCAAGGAGGGCCAGCATGTCAACAAAGGTGATGAACTCGGCATGTTCCACTTCGGTGGCTCGACGCATTGTCTACTTTTCCGGAAGAGCGTCAATGTTCAGGGCTTCCCCTCGACTGATACGGATCAGAATGTGCCTGTCAGAAGCCAGGTGGCTTACGTTGCTTAATTTTCCTAGCTTCTGAAAATAATACGCATGGAGCCTCTGATTAGCAAGTCTTGTACATACTTGTGGATGTTAATGAGCGATGCTTTACGATACATATGAGGAATTGAGGTACATATTTCGGACCCCGTGTTTTATATGGTATGAGAGCAAATAAGCTCAAGCTATCAGTAGAATAAATGTAAACAAGGCAGATAGATGCCTCAGGTCACCTGGCACGTTTTGATTCTAGTCAAATATGGAAATAGCCTGGCTTGACGGGACTCTGGCTGGTCTTGACGTCACATGCTTTTGCCCAAACGGAGAGGGCATTCTTCTGCAGTGCTAACTGAACTGCTGTTGTCATTCTATGTTTACTCAGATGATTTCTTATTCACGTTTACTCTCTCATATGCAACGACATCGCGAGCTCCCGAAGTCAGTTCCAAACATTGGAATCTACCAACGCAGGAGAACATTAAATTACCCTGAGGCACAGGTGACGATAGCAATGGGTATGTCTTCGGCATGAAAGTCTCGAATCAAGCAACGACGCCAGTATCCCACGCTGCCTATCACTCCACATGGCAGAGCAACTTGCATGAGTTATCTCGACTGAGTTCACCAGTCGGCGTTATTTCCCGTCGAACTGTAGAGCTGTCATGCTATAAAATCTTGTGTGAATCAAGGTTTTGACCCGATTCTTCAGGAATCCTACGGGCCAAAACAAGCCTTGCAAGCCAAGTTCTCATCGCTCTTGTATCGCCACTATGACTTGCTCGGTCATACTCGTGAGCAAAACTCGGATGATTCGGGTGGAGAGAGTAGGTTGGAGGGGTATATCATGGTTCCCTTCACCATCTCTCATTCGAAGCATACAATGTCTCTCCCACAAACACAATGGCAAAAAGACATCCGTACGCTCGCGTCCCGTCCTGCTCTTCGAAGCATTCATGTATAAAGAGCTGACCAGATTAAAGTTACCATGCCGGAAACTATACTCCCATTCACACTACCCTAAAACCCCGGCCCTGTCCGTCTGAAGGCGCGATTCCCGAGGAGTTTCTTGGAGGGCAGTACGTGCGCAACGGAAGCAACCCCCTCCAGGTTGATACCAGTCGAGGCTTTCATTGGTTTGATGGCTATGGAATGCTCACCGGCGGACCAGCACTGCCAACACAAGCTTTGTGCACCATGATGGTCGAGTTTTGGCCACGAACGAGACGGGCCCTCCTATGCGTGTTATCCTGCCATCGCTAAAGACGGTCGGTTGGTTCACTGGTAGTAGAGCGGAAGGAGAGCCTACGGATGAGAAACCTCATCCATACTTTGGCGGACCGGGAGTGGAAGGGTTTTTTAAAGAAATGACAACGGCTCATGTAGGTAGTCATTTCTCCTGATCGGATCAAAAACATGCTCACACAACTCGCCCTATTAGCCCCACGTTGACCCGCAGACCCAAGAGATGTTCCTCTTCCATGCGACCTTCCTAGCTCCATTTGTCACTTACTCAACAGCCAAAAGCTCGTTCAACCAGACGCTCTGTCTCAACCAGCCCGTACCAGGATTTCAGGGAGGTAGGATCATGCATGACTTTGGCGTATCGCGCAAACACACAGTCATGATAGATCTACCAGTGTCATTGGATCCGTTCAATCTTTGTCGGAATCGGCCAGTAGTCGAGTACAACTGGCGTGGCCAGACACGCTTCGGGGTGTTTCCCCGGTACGAACCCGAGAAGGTAGAATGGTACACCACAGCGCCCTGCATGATTATGCACACTGTCAACACCTGGGATGAAGAGACCTTCAATGGAACGCGGGTTCATCTGCTTTTGTGCCGGATGAACAGTGCCGCTCCGCTCTACCATATGGGCGGCTTGGAAGCTCCGAACATAACCATTCCAGAAAGCCCCGAATGCCGCCTGTACTACTATCAATTTCCACCCAACAAGGAGAACCCGAAGCAGATCTCTCACCAGTGGGCATTGTCTGCGATTCCCTTTGAGTTTCCACACGTGCCGCAGCGCCTCCAGATGGCACCGACTCGTTTCGTGTATGGGAACTCGATGCGGACTGGAGACTTTGCGGAAGCTTGTATCAGCAACTTCAAGGTTGAATGTCTTGTGAAAATCGACGTGGCGGCTCTGCTTGCGCGAGGCCTCGCCGATCCTCCGTCGCAGGTGGATGGCTGTGTGGACAAGAGATCTGTCGCCGAGGTTCTCACATCGGATGATCCAAACGATCCCATCAAAGTCTTTACCTTGCCTGATAGATGGTACGCGCAGGAATGCTCGTTTGTTGCTCGCAAGGATGGTCAGTCCGAAGACGATGGGTGGCTCGTCACCTACGTGTACGATGAATCGCAGCTCGACGAAAACGGCGTAGCACCCGAGGATTCACAGAGCGAGCTGTGGATTATTGATGCCTTGGAAATGAAGGAAGTAGTAGCTCGTGTGCTCTTGCCGCAGCGTGTACCGTACGGGATGCATGGTAACTGGTTTCCTGAGGAGCAGGTTCTGGGTCAGCGAGAGGTGGAGCGTTTCCGGAAGTGAGCTGCAGTGAGCCAAAGACGTTTTGAACTCTTAGCATATGCTATACGTATTCATGCTTGTGGGTTGTGTACTCGCGGAATTGTTGGTTGCAAATTGGTATGTTTGTTTGTTTGTTTGATGGTCAGGTACATGGCACCATTCCAAAAACCAATTGCCTCTTTCCACTGCTCTTTGCTCCACCGAGCCATGACACGCCACGTTCATCACTACCTATCTACCATGTATGACTTAGGCTCTCTGCTTTGTTTCCTCGGATAGTCAATCTTCTTGTGTAATCGACTAGGATTTTGTGATGCAGTGCCACGGCTCAGCCCGGACGCCATTCGGCCTGCTTGCGGACCGGAATAGTCATGCCTTGAGCTACACTTCTTTTGAAACGGTAATGGGCCCCTTCAACGTTCCAGTAACGACTGCACTTGGATTGATGGATAGCTAAGAAAGCCAATCTAGAAGAGGGCCGCTTCAAAGACTGCTGCATCTACTTTGCATACTCAATCGAGACGTCGCTCGTTCTAGCATCAACGATCAGCATCTCCTCAATCAGCTCCGCGACAAGAGGGAATTATGATCGTTCCCAGGATATGGGAAGCTGAACGACATTGATACCGTCACCAATCGGTTATCGCACCCAATATCCCAAACAGCTGGATTCCAGGCATAGTGCCTGGACTCCAGTCTTGGTCTAATCCGAATCCGGAGAACCTTGAGATGTGGCGCCATAAACCTTCGAGCCAAGGTGATCTAGCTGTTAAGCTGCTCGGTGTTGAGCTACGTCGATCTCCACAATCCCAACAATTGCTCAGTGGTCTACATGAGTCCAGTGCAAGCACTTGCTTGTCGGTTGTCGGATGTCGCCAGTCCCTCGAGGGGACTCCACTTGCCAAGGATCCGCTATCCAGTTTACTTTGCCGAAAGAACCATACAGGTTGTTCCCCTCGGCTATGGCCTAGCAAAAGAATATTCCATGACAACGCCAAAGACTATGGTTTGCGTTAGCCGGTTCCGCCACATCCTGTTGCTGGGTAGATCCGGCCAATCCGCATTATGTGACTTCATGGTCAATCCAAGGTACCCCGGATTTCGCTTTTAGGTCTCTCTCACCTAGTGTGTCTATGCTAGAAGCCCAGCTTCGCTTCAACTCTGAACCCACTATCGCCTTCTATTGCCGTTCCGATTGCTCCGAGAAATTGAGAGAAAAACATGCACGAGCGCAATGTCCTGGCCAAACTCGGCGGTCTAGCACTATAAAAAGATAGCTGGCGCCCTGACTTTTCCTCGCAGGTCTACATTCAGTGGTTGTAGCCGGATATCCCCAAGATGCAACTTCAAATTCTTGCGGGGACCCTGCTGCTGAGCCGTCAAGCTCGTGCAGTGCCAGCTCCACTAACGACTGGCAAGAGCCATGTCCCCAACATTGACTCTTTGGGTACTCTCCAGGCCTTGAAGTATAACGACCTAGGCCCTCAGAATAATGGTACAGCCGCAGTTCTTGTCCATGATCGTCTCTCGATATTCGAAGCAGAAGCCCGATGCCAATCTATTGGGGAAAAGCTTTACCAAGCGCAGGAGATTTCACTGGTCAATGGCACAGAGCTAGCATACCAGCTCGACTATCTCGTTCATGTGCAAGACGTCCAGTTCGATGAAAAGTTATGGGTTTCTCAGGCTACTCACAACGATTGCCGCGCATTCTCTCTCGAGCATAAGAAGCTTGTATCGGTGTCCTGTGGCTCTAAGTTACCTGCCCTTTGCACATCCAGTGTTGCCCCTACGACGGACCAGGATAGAACAGCTGTGAACTCACCCAAAATCTCCATTGAATCCGATGGGTATCGCTTGACTGGCTATCGTGACGGACGGTCGTTTCGCTTCTTGGGTATCCCCTTCGCCGATGCTCCAGTGAAAGATCTGCGCTTTGCACCACCGCGCCCATACTCTGGACCCCGTGATATCGATGCAACGAAGATGGCCAACTCCTGCATCCAATCCGTGTCAGGCTTTGGTACTTTGGACAATGGCGGTATATCCGAGGATTGTCTCTACCTAAATGTCTACACCCCTATCCTCCCTGCGAAACCAGCCAAGCACTCTAAGCGCAAGCCTGTTGCAGTCTACCTCTATGGAGGGGCGTTCACTGCGGGGACCTCAGCGATGGTTGACTACGACGGAGGCAATTTCGCCAGCCGCAACGACATTGTTGTCGTCACGCTCAACTATCGCGTCGGCGCCCTAGGCTGGCTCACCATCGGCAACTCAACGACCGGCAACTATGGTGTCCGGGATCAGATCATGGCCCTGAAATGGGTGAAGCAGCACATCAAGGCATTTGGTGGAGATCCTGACCAAGTCACAATCTTTGGCCAGTCTGCAGGTGGCCAGAGTGCGATTGCCTTGCTTTCTTCGTCCGCAGCCCAAGGCCTCTTCAGCGGCGCCATTGTTCAATCTGCCCCTGTTGATCTGCCCTGGTTTACGCGCGGAGTCTATACCGAAATCGTTACTCCTCTCATCTCCAGTGCCGTAGGCTGCAACGGGACCACGTCTGAAAGCGCTCTACTCTCTTGCCTCCGCTCCGTTCCAGCGAGCAGGTACCTTGACAACAGCACAGAGTTCGAGGCAGCCACAGCCGCGAGCGCCAAAGCCCTCGCTACCGGATGGCTACACTCCAGCGACCTCCTCGCATCCATCGAGCCCATCCTCCCAATCGTCGACGACACCGGAAGCGGCGTCATCGACGATCAATTCCACACCCTTCTCTCGGAAGACCGCCTCCCCAACCGTGTCCCCGTCATTTTCACCACCGTGGCCGACGAGGCAGCCCTCTATGTCGACGCCGAAGTCACCCAGAGCATGGGATCTTCCGAAGTGGCCCTGGCGGAAATTTTCAGTCTCGCATACCCTTCCTCGCTGGCCAAAGCCCTGATCGCCTCCGACGCCTTCCCCACGAACCCCAACGCCACCGACAACGTCCGTAATGTCGCCGCCGATGCCCTTACCCACAGCGAATGGACCTGCCCGCAATCCTACCTCTTGAACCTAGCCACCGCGAACACAACCACCAACACCACCCTCCCCAAGAAACAATTCCCCCACCTCTACCAATTCTCCATCCCACAAGGCCACATCCAAACCACCGTCGGCACGCCCGCCATCTGTTCCCCCAACCAGGACAAGAACGCCACCTGCCACTCCTCAGACGTCCTCCTGGTCTGGGGCACGCTGAACAGCAAGACCCAAAACGTCGCCCCTTACTACGGCCCGACGGACATCCAGCACTCGCAGCTCCTGAACGACATCTTCGCCTCATTCTTCCGCTCCCGCAACCCGAACCCCGATGTCGAGGCCCTGCAGCTCCGGGGCCCTGCCTACCGCTACTCGTACGAGACTTTCGGGGCCCGCGGCTACCGCATGCCCGAGTATCACGGGAACGAGGATCGGGTCGTCGCGTCGCTAGGCGTGGTCCCGGGCGTCACGGTGAACCCGGGGCGGACGGCCAAGTGTAGGGTCTTCGAACAGCAGGGATTCACCTTCCAGAAGGCGGAGCTGACTGTTTAGCTTTGCTTTACTGGATATATGTCGGCCTCAAGGTAAATCATATGAAGACTCGAGCAGCGATGGACCTTCGAACGGGGTTGTCAATACTAATGATGTAGATAAGATGATTTGATGTTTAGCTGGTTTAGTCTAGTCAGTGTTACTTGCTTTCCTTAATGCGTGGATGAATGACGATGTATAGTCCTTCTACACTACTCTCGCCACGTACAATAGAGATTACGGTGGATCTCAGCAGATAACTATAGGTTTTTGCTACAACAGACAGTAAACTCCTCGCTTGGGTGATTATATAGCAGAAAAAGGGCCTCGGAGGTGAGATTTTTTAAGATAGTCGCAAACTAGTTGCGAACAGCGAGAAGTAATTATATAGAGTCTTTACCACCATTTATGAGTATAAAACCCTAAGAAGCTATGTACAACTGTGCGCAACTATAATTGAGTAGGTTGTTACCAGTAACCTGACCTGACTACTAGCAACTAGCCTGAAATTATATATGGGTTCAATCAATGGAAGTTGAAAATATACATAATCGGCCTCATAAGGTAGTGAGTTCGAATATAAGTTGAACATGCATTACAACTCTAACAAGCAATACGATGGTTGATAATGGCTCTAGACTGGCTACTAAATAATGGTTAACGTAAGTAGTAGTTGCAACTATCAGCAACCAGGATAATAATATCCAAGTACCGAGTCTAACCCCCTTTCTACTACGTAGGCATCCACGATCGCTATCTGCCGCCTGCTGGGAGGCACAACTCCGTACATCACTATTTATAGTTAACATTTCCCTTACACCCATAAAACAGCGCAGCGCCATGCTATATGTCTTCGGGCATAATCTCATATTATCTACTATGCTATGTCCCATGACCGTTTGATAGAGTGTAATCTAACAAGTCTCGGAGCCCTTTTCTAGTCTTGCAGATTTCATAAGCTTATACTGTCGTAACGTCGTGATATCATAGAAGTGGTGGGTCTTCTCCAGCTCAGCGCGGGAAGAGAGAGAACGAGCGGATATGTATAGCAAAATATTACCAAGCGCCCCCTTGAAGAACCAGACAAGCCTAAATGCTCTATTACCCAGAAACCGAAACTGAAAAAATATGACTCTTTGCCATTCGCCAATGCGAATGTCAATGTCAGTATTGCTATGCCTGGCAATGCTCATCGTCTTAGATGATGGCAGATGAAGGCTGGACTAGAGAAGGAGATGGAGTAATGTTAGTAGATTCTGAATATAGCCGTGGTTAATCGTGGAGGATCAAGGCCACTGCTCAAAATTACACCGTCAAATAGAAAACCGACACTCGTCGGACGGGAAGATAATATCTGAGTTGCGGACCACCGTTTTCTTTATCGATCATACATAGACCGTCTCGATCGAACAGGATATTCCATTTCTGGCATACCCACTGGGATGCCCCTCGTGGGCGGTGGAACAGGGTTGGCCCATCTCGGTGACCGGTATGCTCCTCCATCATCTCTCCCAGAATAACGCGCCGTGTGGTCGGAGACACCGGGGTTAGGGTATCCTGGATTTGCATTGGACGCTCGGTAGCCTCGACGGGTCTCGTCGACAGGGACGCGCATGTCACTGTCAGGGTGGGCACGTCCGACGTACGGGTGGTTAACGTTCATATTCACATAACGAGGTGGCGGTGGTGGATGCGCATGAGAACGAGGATGGGGATATCGAGGTAGTTCCTGGTTGATCGGCATGACGGGAGGGTCGTTGAAGGCAGACTCGTAGAATATAGGGCCCGGGGTCCGGGGATGCATGATTGGCTCTTCGGCGTATGCACGTGCCGGGCGGGTTCTGCGACCCCCATCGGAGTCATATGGTCGCCCTGAGTGACAGTTTGATGTCTCGCGGTGGGTATAGGTTCGTCGCTGCGCTTCAGGAGAGAGATCACGCGGGGGTTTCCGTGCATACGCTTCATGTGAATGCCGACGGGCATGGGAGCTGTGCGAATGCGAGGGACGCAGGTGACGGCTGTTATAACGGTTGGCCGCCTCTTGTGCTGCAGCTATTGAATCCTCTGAGGAGGCATCTGAGGGATTATGTCCCGGCACAGTTGTTGGACTGACTGGGCGTGAGAAGGTGGGCCCGCGCTCTCGTCCTTGGGCCTTCGGAGATGACTTCGCCCACATTGGTGGCGAGGGCGCCCGGGGTGAGGGCGACGCGAATTCTGGGGGAGGTGGCGGTGGACTGAAATAAGTGGACTGTACTCGACGCGTCGATGAGCTGGGAACCTCCCCGCTGCGGCGCCTTTGATGACGGCTCGAAGGTGCTGGTTCTTCCGGAGTGACATGGGCCCGTTGCGCAGTTGTCTTACGGCGACTTGGGAACGTCTTTTTCTCCTTAGGGGACGGAGCCTCGTCCTTCTGGTGGTTGCTGAATTGAGAGTGGTAGGTACCAAAACTCGGAGGCGATGCACGGAGAATGTTCTTCTTCACATAGTCCATCTCAAAACGTCGGCTGACTGTCTCGTGCCACTCCACCATTTCTGGGTCTGGCGATTTGGGGAAGGCTCCGCGGGGAATCGTCTTCGGAAATGTGCCGCCGCTAGGATTTTCAATATCCCAGAGCTCAACCGCATTCTGAAGGTATCGGCAATGTTCGTCCGGGTCTAGAAGCAATTGGATTGTTTGCCATCGTACGAAGCCGTTGGGTTGTAGAGCGGGGATTGCGGGGGGTTTGTATGCATCGTTCGTGGGTTGGATACTGTGGAAGCAGCCGAGGCGCTGGTAGATAAAGGAGAGAGCAGAGGGCTTTGTTTGGAGAAAGAGCACGTCGTAATTTCCGCCGACCTTGCGATAGAAAGAGGCCAGGCGTTCGGGCGTGAGATCAGCCGTTGCGTAATCGTCGAAAGACGACTATTGAGAAGCCAAGAATTCAGCTTTTGTTTCCCGGTCGCATACAGTGTCTCGAGCTCCGACTTACAATTTTATGAGCAATTTCTAAACAGAGCTGTTCAAGGAGCGGGGCTGGACTCTTGTCCGAGTTGATCAACACTCCCCAGAAACTCGCGCCCGGATCATGGGCGGAACACATGGCCTAGCTACTGGGATTGGGCGCACGGGAAGGACATCTGGCAGCAGCAGCAGCAGCAGCAGCAGCGAAACAATGAGCGGAGCATCGATGGGACCGATGAGGTAGAAGAATGGGGAAGGAAACCAAGCGGGAGGGGCAAGGCTGAAGAGGGAAGTTCAGCAGACTGAACGACAAGATGCGTGTGTGCGTGAGTGAGCGAGGGAGGGAGTGATGCTGCAGGCCCGCCAGCAGCACCTTGCGATCCGCCTGGCGCATTGAATCCGGTTTAGTGCGCAGTCAGTCAATTCAAAATGACAGGCAACGCCCGGGCGGTCAGGCACCCATTCGCTGATGCTCCACTGCGGGGGAGCCCAAAAGAGAGAATGTGGTTCAGTGCTGTTGTTTGTTGGCACTGGCAACTCAATCCGCCTCATCTGTAGAGAACGCGAAACGAATCGAATGAGGGTGGAGACGGAGGGATTTGACGCTGGACGAGAGCCGATGCAAACCAGATCCATGATGCTGCATGAAGCCCAGTTGGGGAGAACTAGCACAAGCCAGCCAGTCGAGATTCTCCGTATACATACCGTACAGTAGATAGTAACGTTGTACCACAACACCTGGATGAAGGGACTAACTAGACTAACAAACCCGAATGAGTGGTGAATGCTTCCCCCGCAGGTGACTGGCCAGACAAGCAGCGAAAGGGGAGGAGTAGCGAAGGGAATACTGACGGACATTCCACGGCTGTATCACCATGCGTCATCCATCATTTTTTGCTTTTGTTTTGTCTTTTTGTCTTTTGCTGCGTAAACTTTGCCTCGAGGGCTTCTTCATGCTTGGTGGATGAGCAAGAGAGGAGAAGGGAGAGAGAGAGGGTTTATGGGAGAGAAGAAGTGGGGAAGAATGGTGAATTTGGGGAGACTTTGGGGATCGGCTTCTCAACCATGATTCCGGTTCATCTTGACACCTGAGGCATCAATTTCCATCCACCTTCCACAATCAAGTCAACTTACCATCTACGAGTACACCACAGGTACAGCACAACATATAATTGGAATAATGACTACTTCACGATATCTGGTCATCAGAGTGCACGAGACTGAGGGTGTTACGGAGGACGCAGGTACCTCACAGGCGCATAAGTTACATCACATGCCTCAGCCAGGGGTCAGTCAGTCAGTCAGTCAATCAACTAATTAACTAACTACTCTACTGTATATATATACGGATGCTGTTAAATGGAGCGAGATCACCGCGTGTTCATCCGTCTGGGTTAGTGGCTGCCAATGATCCACCCGAACAAGATGCATAGTTCGCCCCTGTGGCACTCGCAGACCCTTGGATCAGAAGATCAGTGGGCTGACTGGGTCAAGGAGAGTCAATCAATAATGATAATCATAATAACTGTATGGAATACTGTACAGTATGTAGGTACATGCTAACTACCAGGTAACTTACCTAGTACTTTATAGTGTCCACGATGTACTCCGTACACACATAGCTACATCACGCTATTCTTAGGTTGTGTTGTGCAGATGAAGACTTGGGAATTGCTCATTCCTACCTTCCGCGAATTACGTGTATTATTACCCATTCCTAGTCTCTGATTGGTCACAATCATCGTCAGATTGAAATCTCGAAACAATAGTTAGGAGGAGGTAACACTGCAATGGACATTCATTGCATTCCTCCTGCCATTCCCGTCTGGAACCATAAAATTCCGAGTAACGGGGGTCATTGTTTGGATGCCCTCCCCTAAGTAAACAACAATGTGGTCGCCTGGTCTCGCTCCCATGCCTCTCATACCCAATCTCTATTCTACTCCTACATGACCCTTCTGTTTGTCCTTCATTGTAACTACGAGCTCCAACTTGACCGACCAACGCCTCTCCTTTCCCCATCCTTAGATTCTTGCTTCTTTTCTGCTGTGTTTGCTTGCAGAGCTCGCGTAGACCAGCAGCTCGAAGCTCTTTCCAAGGGGCAGTGACCAGGTATGTTCTTTCCTCGTAGCTGCTGAAGCTCATACTGATTATGCGCTACAGGTCGACCATTGGCCCCGTCCTCTCGTTCGTCATTTGACCTTGCTTGCCTTCCGACCGTCGACCTGTTGAGTATACCACGCTTCAAGCCCATGTCTGCCGATCAATAAACGAAAGATGGCTCAAAATCGGGACCCAGCGTTCTGGCGACGCTTTTCCCTGGCCATCCACCTGGATGAAGAATCCAAGGCTTCCACCCCAGAAAAGGAAGTCACCCTATGGTCGTATGTTGTCTCACTGCTACCATTTCAAGCTCACGACGAGTCTTGTTGCTGGTCTCGTATGCTGATCATCCGGTTCTCACAGGGATAATTGGATCAAGGGCCAGGAAAGGAAACGCAAACGAACCATCCTCTGCGGCTTCCTGATATTCTTCCTCATTGCGCTGTTCGTGGTTGGCGTTATCGTGGTGGTCGTTTGGCTCAATGCTCATCACTGGCTACGGGACACGCCGAGATCAGCTTGATGTAGCGGCAGATAAGGGGTTGGGGTTAAGGATCTTGGTCGAGGGAAGAGGTATCTTGTGGATATGTGTTTCTAGCTAGGCATGAATGAGCGGGCCTCATTTCGGTTATATTTTCATATTCTCTCGTTCTTTCAACGGCGGGCTGGGGCTGGTCTTGTTGCAATATCCCCAAATAGCTGACAACCGTTGTTCTGATAAATACCAATCTGATGAATGTCGCATTCAGATGTCGTTGCTTTTGTTTTCAGTGTAATCCCCTGTTGGTGATTCTTGAAGAAGGGAAATGCTCAGACTGTATAGCAGTGGAAAGTCCAGCCGCGTGTTTATTCAAATCGAGTCCACGCATGGACTTTCCCAATCTGGCATTCCTGGCGCCGGCTGCCGGCATCTTATCGGTCATTTCTACTACGTAGCTCGGGTGTGCCAGTTGTCCCTTCAGCAGCTCATGATCTGGATTCTGCACACTGCCATATGTGCTTGTTAACCATGCCGGTCAAGATTGAGCTCCAAATCGCGGTGCTCGCGTCATACATATGCATACAGCCCAAGATCAATATCAGGCCTGGGATGGACAGGTCAACGGGGAGTCTGGAGCGCAAGCCGTATCCGAGCTTTGGGCGGTCCCCACGCTTATCGGCGGGACCCGCGCGCGGGCTTATCGCTACGATGTCTCCGCATCTCCTCCGTCCTTCCCCGCAATAATAAAAGGCCGCCCTTCCCATCCTCCTTGCTTTCACTCTTTGATTCTACCCTTCGTTTTCGTTCTATTCAACTTGGAAGTACACTCTTCCTTTCTCGTAGACTCTGCGACGGAAAGAGTCTTCGTTTCATCATGCTTCCCCCATTCGATTACTTCACATACCGTCGTCTCCGGTAAGTCCGTCATGCCTCTTCACGAGGTCAGGAGTACAGTACACACTCACTACTTGCTGTGTGAATCACCGCGCATTGGCTTTGGTACTAATTGCATGGCAGGGATTTCAAGCGGAGGGAGCGAGCAGCAAGATTCGCGTCACTGCCGGCAGAATATCACGCCCCTTTCACCGCGATTGATAAGGTTATTATCAACAAACCCATACAAGAGCTGGTGGATGAGGTGCACGCTGAATCCGTATCACCCCTCGATGTTCTCCGCACCTACGGCAAAGTAGCCGTCAAAGCCCATGAAAAGACCAATTGTGTCACAGAACTCCTTCTGCCTGAAGCTGAAACATGGGTCCAGTCGGAAGTCAACCTCCAAGGACCGTTGGCGGGAATTCCCGTCTCGCTGAAGGATTCCCTTCAGATCAAAGGGTTTGATACCACTCTGGGATACACCAAGTATGCGTGCAAGCCATACAAGGAAGATGGACCGATGACCAAGCTTTTAAAAGACGCTGGTATAACCTTCCTCGACGGAACTGCTGCTGCACGCCATGGCTAACATCTCTAGGGGCTGTGCCTTACGCCAAGACCGCGTTGCCTGTGACCCTGTTGTCCTTTGAGTCAGCCAACGCTCTTTGGGGCCCGTGCCTCAACCCTCATGTTCCCGACTACTCTCCTGGCGGTTCCACTGGGGGTGAAGGTGCTTTGTTGGCGTTGGGCGGCCGCATTGGTATCGGATCTGATGTTGCCGGCTCCGTTCGAGTCCCGGCAGCCTGGAGTGGTATTTATTCCCTGCGCTGCAGTACTGGCCGGTGGCCGAAGGTTGGCGTTCACACCAGCATGGCCGGCCAAGAAGGCATTCCCAGTGTCTTCAGTCCTATGGCTCGGACCTTGAACGACCTGACCTACTTTACAAAGGCTATTGTGGGGATGGAGCCATGGAAGTATGATTACACGGTTCATCCCATTCATTGGCGGGAGAAGGAGGAAGCAGAAGCTCAGACTAGGAAGCTTCGAATCGGATTGATGACTAGTGATGGTGAGTGGATCGGCATGGCCACCCGAACCAACCAGGCTGACACTGGCTAACCACACATAGGCGTCATTCCCCCTACCCCGGCCATTGCGCGTGCCCTGTCGACGACAACCGCTGCTCTTGTTGCGGCCGGCCACACAGTTTCGGAGATCAAGCCACCAGTCACGGCAGACCCGTTCACAGGGCTTCACCTAGCCTCGCAGCTCCTGAACTCTGATGGTTGCGTCACTTTCAACTCGCATCTGCACAGTTTCGAACCCTCCGACCCGGGCGCAGATCAACTTACCCGGATTTCTAACTTGCCCCGTCCCCTGCGGTACCTTTACTACCTCTGGGTGCGCTACATCCGCCGCGACGTCCAGTGGGCTAAATTGATCCGTACTTTTGGCCCCAAATCAGCAGCTGAGCTCTGGAAGCTCACCGCGCAGCGCGAATCCTTCCGTGCCACCTGGCACGCCTGGTGGGATGGCGCGACACAGCAGTACGATTTCATCTTGTGCCCTGTAAACGCCACTCCGGCTCTACCACACAAAGCCATGCACGATGCGGTTTCATCTTGTGGATACACCTTCCTCTGGAACCTGCTGGACTACACGGCGGGTGTTATGCCTGTGTCGCACGTCGATGCGAAAAAGGATGCTCTACCAGGACCGTACAAGAAGGTTCTCAAGCAGCTGGGAGCTGACGGTGCACTCTCTCGCGGTGCTTGGAAGCACTACGATGCTACCAAGATGGCAGGATTGCCGACGGCGGTGCAGGTAGTCGGTCGTCGCTGGCAGGAGGAGAAGGTCCTTGGATATATGGCGGCGGTTGAGGCGGCGCTGGACCAGTACCAGGATCCATTGACCGACGAGGGCGGACGATACCCCTTGATCGAGTTGGACTGAGTTTCTGGTGTTTGGTTACATGCTTTAGAGAGACTATCCGTGAATTGGTGGATCTCATTCAAGCCCTCGTTGTACTTATTCCTGTTGTAGAGCGAACCATAAGATGAACGATTTTTCTCTTCTTTACGCACATACGACGACGAATCCTTGCATGCTCCTTGGCATGTACTGAAAACTGGCTGATAGATCTTGTTGCTTGTCGTACACATGTGCATGTGAACATGGGTTCCTTCGTATGGATCGCAAGGTAGCTGCCTTGGTAACTTTGACATCTCGTTTCCCGACCATGGATCACTTGTCGGCTTGTCCTTTTGCCACCCGTCATATTACTCTATTTGTTAGTTGATTGGAATGAAGTCAATCACTGGTCTGTGACAGTCCGAGCGACGACCAATGGGCGCAGTAGCAGCGTCAGATGCTGTTATTAGTTGATGATTGTCAAGATTCCAATCTGACCCTAGACTCCTAAGACCTTTAGGCCCTAGACAACAGACTGAGGGTCGAGAAGAAGCGAACGGAGAGTAGCGAGCTGAGTATCGGGAATGACACTGTTTTCTCTCTTGAGCCCCGCATCAA